AGCGGTTCAAGAGCATCTTCCACGCCTAAAAATTATACAGTTGGCAGAACATTGCAGAGAAGGGAAAAATCATGGTTTTTTCATTGATTAAAGAGGTTTTTATTTTGAATTCAGTGGTTTAACTACAGGACTATAAGTAACTGCAATTTCTGGTGGTGGGATTTTTCAATTATTTCATTCTGTTTCTTGAGATTAGACTGGCATTCCAGTAGCCTCAAAAATAGGTTGTTTCCGTTGTTCTACTTAAATACAAGGTCTCTGCTCTGTACAGTTTTAAGTACCTGTTTGCAAGTTTTATTGGCATAAGATCCTTCTACTGATGGTTTCTATTTCAAGGACTAGCTTTGTATTAATCTTGTTTTAAAATTCACTGTATTTAATGAACATTTTACTAGTAGAAAGTGTTGCAGTAGAAAGAACTCTCCAAATACTTTGGAATAGAAAGCATTTATTGGATTGCAATTTGATCTTGTTTAACTGGATCCCAACTGCTTACAGAAAACTAAAGAGAAATAAAGGTCACAAGGAGATTTCTTATTTGTGGTACTTGCACGACTGCCAATAATTTGTCCCTCAAAATGAGGAACCAGGTGTCTCTGAGTGGTGATGAAGTGAAGCTCTGTACTACCGACTTAGCAGTAGTTAACGAGTGCTAGAGAACTGCTACTTGGTTTTCCATCACCAGTCTGACCGAGCCCATGAGGGTCTGTGAGGAAGTTGCACTTGTTTAAGCGAAAGCTTGATTTAAAACTTTGTTCCTGTAAATGCCGGAGCGGGTTAGGGTTGGGGAGATACAAAGAGAACTTTTGTCTTTTTTTCAGTTTAAAAAGGACAAACGGTTTTGGTTTTATAGTCCCATGATCAATTCCAACTTGTGACTTTGAATTAGACTAAGTTGGTTCAGCTGTCTGGAGTTGTGCGCCTGCTTTCACCATGCCCCGGTCTCAAGTAAACTGAGAGACCTTCAGTCACCACACAGGCAGATGACACAGATGTGCTGAGGGCTGGGGAAGGCAGGCTTGGCATACAGCAGCAAGGCTCCACGGCTGTCACATGCGTTTTATCTCGGCTGCCTTTGCCATTTTGGGCTTGAAAAAGCCAGGCCACCAGAGTGGCCAAGGAAGTGAAAGCAAGCAGCTGTCAATGGAGAAGAGAAAGGGCTAGCCCAGAGCTTAACTCCCATACCTGAAAACCCGACTGATGCAGGAAATACACCGACAGTGGGGAGGCTGTGTGGGAGAAGCTGAAACGGAGCCTCGGTCTTCACCTTGTGGGGGGTGGGCAGGACTCCATACTGACTTCTCACCCAGAGAAGCCACAGTTGCTCTGAACACCAGCTCCATAGTGGTGATTGTCACCCCCAGCAGAAGGTGGAGAGAGAAGCCAGGCCCTTTCCATTTTAAGCCCAACCTATGTTTTCCTCCAAACTAGGCAGGATCTCCTGGTAAGGATGCAGACTAATCGTATGGTGCCTGTCTTGTAAGGGAAGGAGATGCTGGTGAGTATGGCCAACATGGCTGGGAAGGATGGGTTGTGTGACCACACGCTACCAACACTGGCACGCACAAGTAGCACTTTGGTGTATTTTAACATGAATGTGTCCTTGTCAGACCAACAAAACTTGGGTGTGTAGACCAGTCCCAAGAGTTTCCCATCTTTGAGGGAGGAGGAGTTAGGTTCAGAGCAAGCGGTCATCTGAAGAAGACAACAGTTGTTAAACGGGATGAGTTCAAAGGAGAAAATCCAGCTCAGAGAAGTGAAGGGATGTCAAACGCTGAATTAAGTGAACGATGGAAAAGGGGTTTTCTATTGAAACAGATGGGGGGAGGGGGCAGGGCAGGAGAAGAGGGTAGAACTAAGATGGGCAAGAAGTCCAAAATGTTGAAGCATCATAATGAAAAATAGTTGATGTCGAGTTTAGGAGAGGGGGTAAATGACAAACGATTTGACTGGCACTTCATCTTGCATAATTTCGATTACTGGGTCTGTGCACTTGAAAACAGTATAATTGAAATAGCCCAAAGTAGCTTTAACATGTACGTGGAAATGAAGCTAAGTACAAACCAATATACTTTTTTTTTTTTCTTTCTTAATATGTGGCTCCTCTATCATCAGCCTCAGTTTCTGGGGTGAGCAGAGGAATGGCTCTGCACTTGGATACCCTGCTTTTTCTTTGTAGTTGCTGTGACTCCACACATTTGCCTTGGGGAGCAATTATAGGGCAGAAATAAAGCACAATCAGCTTTTCATGCAGGAATGTCATCCTCCCAGAACTGAAGAGTATAAGAAGAGCAGATACTAATTTATATTTATATATATAAATACTCACCCATAAATGCTTCTCAAAAGTATGAGGAATGCTGGCTAACAATACCAACGTACCTATGAATTAAGAGTTGTAGATGCAATTCGCAGTTGTCTAAGGCTGTTAGTGGAGCTGTGCCTCTGGCTTTAAAAGGCGATCCTGGCAAAAGCCTCCATCAGCAGAAAGGTGCCTGTGGCGCTGAATGTGGTAGTTGACTCTAATCAGTACCTTACCTATACACTGAAGGGGGAAAAAAAGAGGCTTTTCAATTTAAGTGCTTTCTGTTATTCACTCTAAAAGCACCCTACTAACTAAAATGATGTAATGATAACTGAATAGCCACTCTTTTTCCAGTTAATTAATGCAAATCCTATCGGAATACTTCATATTCATTGTACCAGATGAGCACATAGCAAACTGGTAAAATAAATGTCACAGGAAGAAGAAAAAGATTCAGTCTAATAAGGCTGTAACACCAGGTGACTCTCAAACCATCTCACTAAGTTTAAATATAAATGTATGGATGGACACATATCTCACTCCTCATATTTTGTTGAAAAAAAAAAAAAAGTCTACTTTTTTCTCCTTAAGCCACTCCTCAGCTGATGATACAAACATAAGAGGAATAAACATTTTCTAAGATTGCATGATTCGATAATGTGATGAGACTTATTTTCCCAACTCAGTAGCTGCTGAACAGCAGGGGTTGCTCTCTGTTCCTGCCAGTGTAGGCTAATACCGCGTTTATTTAATTATTTGTAGAGCATATGTTTATATAGGTTAATTTTCCTGGGTTGGGTTTTTTTTTTTTCCTTTCATTTATGGTGGAATCAGATCCAATAACAGACTAAGGTGAAACTGATGTTTCACTACAAGCCCACTAAACTCTAGAGAGAAGAGACTTCTGAAAGATTCTTAGGTGTCAACAGGGAGAGGCAGGGGAGGAAGGGGATGTTAACAGCTCTCCCGGCCTCTTGGGGCGGGGGAATATTTTTTTTTTTTTTTCTTCTCCATCTTTTGGTGCAGAGTGTGTGTTTAATGCTGCTCTTTAGGCGGGTGAGCCCACACAATGAGCACGATGCATCCTTGCCCCATAGCACTCAGCTGGAGTGTAACAGGGGATGACAGAAAGAGGTTAGAGGGAAGGAAGATGATTGCAGAAGCAAAGGGGTTTGAAATGCCTTTTGTTAAATGGACGTTTTGGTGCAAATCTGAGGGGTGGTTTGTGAAAGAGAAGCTATTTGGGCTGCAGAAAGCACGTGCATTAAGGGGAAAAAAGGCTAGGCCAGTTTATAATCCACTTAATGATTTAAAAGTCATAAAGAAAACAGCATTTAAAGACTTCTCAGAATCTTTTTATCATTACACTGTTAAAACATGCAGGAGCCTAGTGTGTGGTTTTTATTTTAGGGCACCAGTGCTTCCTGATAGCAATTTATTGCACATTTCTAGAAAAAAAAAAAAACAAAACACAAACCTGCTTCCTTCAAGCTCTGACATGTCAGTTGTCATCTTTGTGAACACAAAACCTCCTTGATTTTATTTTTTGTGACAAGCACAGTGTCCTATTTACATTCTAGAGTGAACAAACAAGGAACCGTTCCTTGAAATAGGGGTACTCAGAAAGAATCTTCTTCTCCTTTGAGTAGGAGGGAATTTGATGAGACGTCCCCTCTGGGCCTGCAGTGACTGCTGAGTCGAGCAGTTTCAGCTTGTGTGTAGTGCCGCATGGTGTAGGAGCAGGAGCACAAGCCTCAGCAGATGAGGCTGCAGGCACCAGAAGATGGAAACTTTTGGGCAAACCCTCATCACAGCCCCGTCCCAAAAACACAACTCTTTAAGGTCCATCATTCAGTCCCACCTCTTCCCCATCCAAATACAGCCTGATTCCTTAAGTTCCGTTTGTTCCAGCTGCCCTAAGTATGGATTTTTCTCTTCAAAGCTCAGATTGCTGAAAGCTCAAGGATTGTTTCAGTTAGTTGTTCCATCAGCTCCTGCACCAATGACAGCAGTGTTCTTGTGCTGCACTCAAAGCCAGGGCTTGGAGTTCCCCAGTCAGGCTGTCTTACTGGCTTTGGAAGATGGGGTGAGCA